AATCTATTATTTAATGTCAATTAATGTACAATGTAATAATTAAAAGTTTAAAATTTTTCTTTTCTCTACTGATAACGAAAAGAGATGTATTGAGATATTACAGTATTTTATCCAATTATTCAAACAAATTGACATATATATTATATACAATAATGATAATAAAAACAAAAGATATTCCTCCTTTCGATGTGTATTCTAATAAATGGAATAAACTTTTTGATTACAAAATAAAAAAAATCCACCAGATATTTTTCAGTTGAGTAGGTTTTCGTTACTTTTGTTAGTATGTATATAAAAAGTGATAGACAATAAAGACAGTTTGTCAAGGATAAATGTTGTTGGAAAAAGCTTCTTTGTTCTACGCGTTGTTAGTATTGACCTAATTTGGTCATTTTCAACTTATCCTCTCTACATTCCCTGCCTTTGAAATACATATATTACTATGTAAATATCATTATAAATAAATAAATAGTTTTTTAAAAAATTTGAATGAATATTAATACAACGTAGTAACTGAGATCTTCATTATTTATTCCTTAAATATCAGTCTTAAGGCCTTCCATCTAGCAGAAAAAATAGGTGCAGATATTTATATAATATGTAATATCATATAAACTTATATATTTTATATTAAATTTTTTTAAAATTGTTTTTAATTTGAATTTAATTATCTACATTGGAATCTAAGCTTTTGTTTCAAGAGAGTTTATATAAAATAAATTAAAAAACATTTATGATTAATTAGTTCAAATTTCAACTATTATGAGCGCCAGTGCTCATAATTTACTGTTTAAATATATGTTTATATATAAATTTATTCCACACCTTGGGCCAATAAAGTTTTGTTATTGGCAGAAAATTTTATTTACAAATTAATGCATAATAAATATATCGTATAATATCGAAACGATGAGAAAACAACACCCCACCTTCAATCTGTGCTACTGGAGCTACTTAAAAATATATTCATGCAGATGATCTGTGGGGGAAAACAATTGCTTGCGTATATGTTGAAGTATAAATTGATTTTTCAAAGCAATAAATCAGGGCAGACCATAAACAAAGAACTCAGTGGAAGTGGAATTTATTCCTGTTTATAGATATTTTTTTAGCTTATTTTGTAGGTGTTAACTCTGTTGTTGACAGATGTTGCCAAAGGTAATGTATTCATATTTTTATTGTTTTCGCTTTGAGCACTCTCGGTTTTTATTAGGGTTAAAATGTGAATGTAAATAAATTTGTTATTCGATTATTGAATATAATAATTTATTTTATATTAAACAAAAAAAATCTGATAATCCATTCTCTATCAAAATTGCTCACTTAAGACCTTCATACAAAATTATATGTATACAATGAAAATTATTTTTATATAGTATTACTTTTTATTTATTTATTTTTAAATTGTTATATTTATATTGTGTTTTTTATAAATATTTTGTTTTAATTTGTTTTGTATTTGTTTTCAAATTTTAATTAAATATAAATTTTAGTTAGTGGACGGAGGAAAATAAATCAATGCAGGTACTAGTAAGAAAAAAGCAAATACATATGGGTATAAATATTTAGATTAAAAATACCATAAAGTTCAAATATATTTATAAATACTTTATTTTTTGTACGAATGTGCAACGGACTTAATTTAAAATATAACTGACACATTCATTATATTATTTGAAATTGAAAATTGTGGTGACTAATCTTCTTCTTCTTGTTTGGCAGTACAGTCCAGTACGAACCTTGGCCTTCTTCATAACCTGCCTCCATCTGCTTCGATCTTGTGCAATTGTTTTCCAATTCATAATTTCGAGCTTTCTGGCGTTTTGGTACACGTTTTTCTTCCATGTTTCCTTCCTCAGTATAGAGGCACACTATGCTTTGTTGTCATCGGTTTAGCATTAAATATATTGGCTGGATTTCTTTCAGGTCCCATTCTTACAACGTGAGCTGGCCATTGCAGTGTTTGTGCTTTGTTGAGTGATAAGATTCAAAAAAAAACCTTTTAAAGAGAGCTGTACGCCATTTGGTATTTATATATCTTAACCAGCTGTCTGAGCAGCACAATTTTTACTTTTATGTACATGTTTTATTAGACTCATAATCAATCTCGTATATCACAAAGAACATAAATATTTATAATCTTCAGAAAGAGTATCTCAAGAACACATAATTTAATATTAACAACATTTGTCCTAGTACACTCTTCTTTTCAAAAATCATCTTAAATATAATCTGCCACATACAAAAGTATCATATTTAATTGTAAAAAATAAATCAATAGCAATTTTTTTCTCAGTTTCAATGACTAAAGCACTTAAATGGTTATAGTTCATCATAATGTCCTTTCGTTAAACATTGCGGCGCACAAAGATACGAATATTTCTTCAACCATTAGTGGGAGTAAATATGTCAGTGTGACAAATGTGATGACATTCCGTCCATTTGTTTTAATGTATCTGTTACACTTTCTGCTGACAGCTTAAAGTTCTTTATTTAAACTTTGTCTGTTCTTTGTAAATGTCCTGTTTGGCCTTTGATATCTTGTATAATAAAAAGTGTACACAAGGATATTAACTTTTGCTGTTTGGTCCTATCGCAACGTAACAAAAAATTAAATAAACAAACAAATAAAAATGTGTTCCCCAATGAATTTAGCAAAGTTTTTGCAGTGACAGTAGTGATTTATGTTTTTTCAGTGATTTATTGATATGTGATATTTTTATCTGTGAATTTTAACTTACCAATAGGAATAGTCGTAATAAATTGTAAACACGTAATTATTTATTTTTCTTTTCTAGTTGGATTCCTTTCTTGACATATGTACTTCTTCAATCAAATTAAAAGTTATACTCATAATTCACTGGAAATGCTTTCTTGCACTTCACACTAATATTAAATCAACACATGTAAGGTGTTCTATCTAATTTATTCCAATATAGTTATATTTTGCTAGAGGTAAATTTTATAAATATTTTAAGTATTGAATACAGATTAAAGTAAAGGCAAGGCAAGAAATGTTATCTATAAGATAATTTTTTAAATAATCTCAACATTTTGTCCATTTTAACTTGCGCCATTTAAAAAAAAAATACAAGTAATGTTTTAATAACTCACTGATTGGACCTTATCAGTGCGGCTTTCGACCTGGTCGCTCCACCATTGATCAGATATTCACACTGCGACAAATCCTGGAAAAGCCCACGAACATAACATCGACACTCATCACCTTTTTGTCGATTATAAAGCAGTTTTCGATAGCCCCATTAGGGATCGCGTTTAAACCGCAATGTCTGAGCTCGGTATCCCTGCAAAATTAATACGACTTTGCAGAATGACGCTGAGTAATACCCGTAGCTCCGTCAAGGTAGGATCGAGTCTCTCTGAACCTTTTGATACCGTGCGAGGCTTCAGACAAGGTGATCCCTTATCATGTGACCTCTTTAATTTCGTTATGGAAGTGATCATGCGCAGGGCAGGTGTTCATCGTAATGGAACAATATTCTACAAATGTGTCCAGCTCCTTGGTTACGCCGACGACATTGACATCATTGTGCGTAGCAAGCGTGATGTTACAGCTGCTTTTGCTGCTATCGAAAAGGAATCTGCAAGAATGGGTGTAGCGGTGAATGAAGGGAAAACGAAGTATATGTCGGCTACTGGTAGAAATGTGCGTCGCTCGGACACCGGGCTAGTGGCTGGCGACTATACTTTCGAATCTGTTAAGGATTTCATCTACCTTGGCACCGCCGTAACGAATACAAATGATGTCAGTCTGGAGATCAGACGAAGAATCACCATTGCTAATAGGTGCTACTATGGGCTCAGTAGGCAATTGGGATCTAGAGCTCTCTCTCGACAAACGAAACTTACGCTCCATAGGTCGCTCATCCTCCCTGTGCTTCTGTATGGCGCAGAAGCATGGACGTTATCCCAGAATGATGAAGCAGCACTGGGAGTGTTCGAGAGAAAAGTTCTTCGTAAGATCTTTGGTCCTCTACGAGTTGGCGACGACTACCGCATTAGAATGAACCACGAGCTGTACGAGCTTTATCACGACATTGACGTAATTCAGCGCATTAACATCCAGCGGCTTCGCTGGCTTGGTCATGTCGTGAGAATGGATGAAGACGCTCCGGCGAAAAAGGTGTTTGAAGCAGTAGTTGGCGGAAGAAGACGTAGAGGTAGACCGTGTCTCCGGTGGAGTGATCAAGTTGAGGGGGCACTAACTGAACTTGATATACGAGACTGGAGAAGGCGCGCATGCAGCAGAGGCGCCTGGGGAGACATGCTGCGTCAGGCCGAAACTCGGTAACGGGTTGTTATGGCCACATAAGTAAGTTAGTAATGTTTTAATATT